CCCCCGGCTGGTTTGGTGCAGCGGATTCTGCAGGGGGTGGGGTACCTGAAAATGAACGAAGCTTTTTGCAAGACTCTGGGCAACATCTGAGAAAGGAAAGCGGCATCATTACAGAAGATGCCCCCCACCCGCGTCACGAAGTCGAGACCCCTGGCAATCTCCCCGCACGAGGACCTGGAGGCCGGGCCCCGGGGAGTAGGTCGGGGCTGACCTACCAGCCATCTCTCCCAGTGGGGTTACTGGAGTGGACTCGAGTGGGCACTTCAAGACCCTCCTGAGAGTGTTCCTAGACCAGGAGACAGGGCCTAGAGAGGGCTGTCTCCAGAGGGGTCAGGGAGAGAGGGAAGGGGAGGGGTGCCCCCTCCCCTGCAGGAATGGGCGTGAGACCAGCCCATATCTGGGGGTCGGGTCTGTTCTGTGAGGGGGATGGAGGGCAAGGCCCAGCACTAGCTAGCGGCAGGGAGGCTGCTGGGCAGCGTGCAACAGCTTTGGGGCACTGGGTTTGGTTTTTCTTTACTGGTGAAGGCGGCAGAAGGCAGGCCAGTCCGGGTGGGCTAGCGGACATCTTGGGGGGGGGGGCTCTGCCAAGTGGATTGGGGGGAAAGAGGTCACAGAGGTCTCTGGGCACTGCCTGATAAGGGAGGAATGCCTCATGCAGTGGGTGAGTGGGTGGGACTGGGCAGGTTAGGCCCTTGCTTTGCTCATCAGTCTCTCATTTCCCAGCCAGAACTCTGCCAGAGACCCTCTGACGTCTCTCTCCCTCCCATGCCACCGGCCCCCGTCCCTGGGCCCCACCCCAAACTCAAGAACTGGGATAGTCAAGCAACAAACGCACACCAAGACAGACTTCCCTTGTATGGTCGAAAGGGTAACTTTTATTTTGTTTCCTTTTGGCTTATAGTAGTGATGTCCTTTGTGATCGCGTCCCGTTAGAGCAGTGCTGGCCTCCCCGCACCCACTAATACACCCACCTTCACTGTCCGGCCCCTACAGGTTGACATTGGTTACGGCGGAAAATGAAACAACGCTGCGCATTGTCAACCCAAGGCCGCTGACCTGGAGAGCTACTGTTTATTCCTCCCTGTCAACGCCCGGCACCCAAAGGGGGCCGACACCCAAAGGGGGCTGGCTTCGAAAGGAGTGAGGAGGTCCTGGGCACTGTTCTGGCCCCCTGCGAGCCTCACCCTGAGCGATGAGGGTTACGGACAGAAAGAGGGGGTCAGACAAGGGTTCTCCACACGCACAGGGCACGCCAGCAAGCCAGGCGGCGGCTGCTCCGTGGCTTTGGCTCCGCGTTGTTTTGAGCGAACAGCATCACGCATGTCTTTTTGCTGTTTGTCCTGTTTTGAAAGGTGGATCGTGGAGTATAAATACTGCACCAAGGACCCGGCTACAAAAAAATAAATATTTATATTGTATTTATATATCTATATATATATATGTGCAGTGATACTGTGGCTGCTGCGGCTTTTTTTTTTTTTTTTTGATTGGCTTCGTTAATATTTGGCAAAGCGTTGCCACTCACCCACTCAGTGAAGACGCACCACGACGCCACCGTGAGTCTTTCGCTTTCAATGCCTGGTAACTGCGGGTGTAGACTGCTGGTGATGGTGTCCTTCACTGCCAAGGGAGTGTGGGGCAGGGTGAGTGGGTGGGTGAGCAGACGGGGGCATGGCTGAAGGGAAGGAGATGGGAATAGTTAAAGACGAAAACCAAAACCCAAGCGTGACGCTTCCGATAAAGGGGAGGTGGCTTCTTCCCTACCAAGCTGTGGGTGGGTGTCGGATACCAAGGCGCAGGGACGGCCAGCCTGCTGGGCTGAGGGTGGGTCTGGGGGAGGAATAAGGTCAGCCCTCTGAGAAACTGTGTGAAGATGCTCTAGGAGCCTAGTGACATCACTAGTGGGCTCTGATGGATCGGTCACTCTTCTCGAGACCTAAGAACAACTATGAAGTTTGGCCAGATCTTGCATAGTAGTGGTTAGAATTTATTGCACATTGGAACAAAAATATATATATACATATATATTTTGTTGTTGTTTTGGAAAAGACCATTAGCAATAAAAAATTTTTTTGTCTGTCTGTCTGGTTGGGGGGATGTACATTGGCTGACAGCATCTAAGTTCTAAGAGGAAAAAAAAGTATAAAAAATAAAAATAAAACATGACAATGGCATAAGCCAGAAGCCATTTCCTATTTAATCAGTTAATAATTTGTACTTACAAAAAGGCATGCCAGTAAAATAAAATGATATATTACAGTATTTATAATTCTCTTAAAAAGAATAACCACATGTGTCAGCCTCTTCTGTGTTGTGCTGTTTACAATGGCGCCTGCACACGGGACTCTACATTCGTCCTAGCCGTGAGCGGGGCCGCTGAAAGAAATGCCTTCCCAATCAAGGTTATCGGGTAGAGGACGGAAATTTTACGGAGGGGGCCGCAGAAGCAGCTTACGAGAGCTGGATCAAGCGGGTCATGGTCTAAGAACATGGAAAGCTCTGCCTACTGGCTTGCTGTGGCTTGTTCTAGGCAAAACTAGTCAGGTGGACAGTGAGATTACATCCAGAGGGCTTCTACTGCAAGGTAGATTGGTGTGTCTGGTTATGTGTTGTTCTTTTTTGTTTTGTTTAAAAAAAATTTTTAAGCCCCCTCTATTTTCTGATCCTGGAAGAACTTATTTTGGTTTGGTTCACAGCCTGAGACCTTTACTCATACTTTATATTATATAGACTTCCTGACACATTCAACTGCAGCGTCTTGGCATTGACAGCCCATGAGAAACCTGTGGCCGAAAAACAGTCATTCTCTAAAGCAGGAAATGGAATGGAACGTATGGTGCGCTCCCCAAAAGCCACCCTCCAATGACAACAGGCAGGTTGCTGAGCAGAGGGCAAAACGGCCGGAACATCCTGAAGAATGAGTACCAGATCCCCCATCTGGTACAAACTGGTGCAGTACAGAAACCAAATGGGCTTGCTCAGAGGCAGCTCTGTTTAGACCTCTGCACCCATGACTAGCTTCTGAACCACAGTCAGAGCCCCGGTGCTGCTGCCCTGGCCCACCTCGGTGGTGGAGAAAATGGGATGGAAGCAGGAGGGACCATGCAGCGTGTGAGCTTGAGCCAAACCTGCTGGGGCAGAGGGGCCAGTTCCTACCGTCTCAACCCCTCTGTGCTGCCCCCAGCTCAGAGAAAGCTACAGGGCAGGACATGATGGTAAATGAAGTGAGCCCCTGAGCCCCCAACAAAGATTGTGTTTCATTTCCCAAAGACAACCCCAAACCCCCCCCCCCCCCCAGAGATAACATGCTACTTTGAAGAGCACTTCTTATCTCTACCCCAAATAAGTGTTGATTCTCCAGTATGCAGGGTCAACAATCCTGGCAAATATTGCATGATACAAATAGATGAACCTCCTTGTTTTTAGCCCTAGGATTTGGCTGGACAGTGACCTCACTGACAGATGCCATTGGGGAGTGTGTCTCCCCCCGGACGGGACACTGAGCAGCAATAGCTGGTTCTTCCTTCAATATGTGCAACAAGGGCGGGATGGTGGAGATGTCTGTCAGCCAGAGACACACACGGATCCGTCTGCTTCTTGGTTTGGGTTTGTGGGTGGTGATTTCTGTTGCGGGTGGTCAAGTGGTTGGTTGTGTTTCTCTACCCTGAGGGTGTGGGAAAGACTTTTTGAGAATTCATAAAGAATTGCAGCGGGTATGGAAATCCTACCAAATACAGTGAACGGTGCAGGGCTGGGGTCCTGTCCGAAGGCTGACCCAGTGCCGGGGACAGGACAGGTGGCGTCCTGTGGTGTGTGGTTCTCATGCATGACTTCTGATCACGGCATGCCATCATGCAAATCGTTTCTACGCATTGAACGAGCACAATGTTTGGAATTGGCCTGAGCAAGTCCTCCTCAGCCTGAAGAAACCTGGTTGTTTTCCCCCACCCATCTCCAAACCACGTGATGCCCATGTGGAGAAGATGCAAGTTATATCAAAGCAACTGACAAGTAAATGACATGGGCTGTGTGGGCATGTGTGTGCGTGTGTGCGCGCGCGCACGGGCGCGTGCGCGCTTGTGTGTTTCTTTTTGCTGCTTAGCTTAACTAATGTGAGAATGCAAATACAGTTTGCATGAACAAACAAACTTTTAAAGTGGTGCTTTCTGCTTCTGAGAATCAACAGAATGGAAAAAATAAAATCCATTTGGCTGCCACGGAAACACGCTGGTCCGGCAGCCTTGCCTCTGTGTGGGTATCCTGTTGCGTTTGTCCTAAGTTGCACTGACTGATGTGGAACATGCAGTAACCACCTGCCCAAGCATTAGAAAATCTGAGAGTCTGGGGAGCAGGGTTCTTGGCCCTTGGCAGGTCACTGCTCAAGATGCAACCGTGGTACATGGTAAGCGGACTATGTTTGGTCTAGACCTTCAGGGGACAGTCTCCACAGCTCTTCTGCACGGATACTCTTCAGGAAGTCTGTAAACAATCTTTCCCTGGCGAGCCTGAGATCTGTACAGTGTTGACTGTGTGCTCTCCTCTAACACTTGGACTCTCGGACCTCTTTTTGTCGTTTGGCTCTTTCCCTCCTCCCCTCCTCGGCCCGCTGCTGCTTCTCCTTCTCCGGCTTGGTCACACTGTCATAGGACGGGAGGGAGGCTGTGGACGGGGTGCTCTCCTTTTTCTCCCGGTGGGTGCCACCGTTCTCCAGCTTATTGGACATGGTCTTTTTGCAGATGAAGCCCCGCCTGGCTAAGTGTCCCCGGTAGGCGCGCTGCAGGACCACGGCCGACACCTCCTCCTGCTTGCGCCGCAGGGTGGTCGTGATTGGCTCGTAAGACACTTTGGAAGGATTGGATGCCACGAACCGCTCCTCCATCTGCTGCCGGAGAATGTCCAGCTCCCCGCTGTCTCCCAGGACCCGCTTGGTGAAGGCGAAGAGGATGTCCAAGCAGTGGATGCGGTCCCCACTCACCATGGGCAGGTCCATGGCGATCAGCTCGATGGTGTTGGGCTTGGGCACGCGGAGGGGGTGCTCTAAGGCGTCGGCAAAGTCCGCCAGCTTACAGTACTCAATGAACTGGGTGGCGTCCGGGTCGAATTTCTCCCAGATCTCGTAAAAGGTCTCAAAGTCGTCCTCGCTCAGGGGGTCGGCGCTCTCTTCCGTGGCCACGCTGAAGTTCTCCAGGATGATGGCGATGTACATGTTCACCACAATCAGGAAGGAGATGATGATGTAGCTGACGAAGAAGAAGATGCCCACGGAGGGGTTCCCGCAGTCTCCCTTAAAGCCACTGCCCGGGTGCTCCTTGTCCAGGCTGCAGTCTGGGGGGCGGTTCAGGATGGGCAGCAGCAGGCCATCCCACCCGGCCGAGGTGGTGATCTGAAACAGGCAGATCATGCTGTTGCCAAAGGTCTCGAAGTTGAACATGTCGTCGATGCCGGCTTCGTGCTTCACGTAGGCAAAGTTGGACATCCCAAAGATGGAGAAGATGAACATGACCAGGAAGAGCAGAAGGCCGATGTTGAACAGGGCGGGTAAGGACATCATTAAGGCAAAGAGCAGGGTACGGATCCCCTTGGCGCCTTTGATCAGACGCAAGATGCGCCCAATGCGGGCCAATCGGATGACTCGGAACAGGGTTGGGGAAACAAAGTATTTCTCAATCAAATCAGCCAGGAACATTCCTAAGAGGAGGAACAGAAGAAGATACGTTACTGAGATTAGAGATTTCCTTTCTCTTTACTTATTGCATCAGCACCGTGGAGACGTGAAGGTCAAGGGGCTGTGTAGATCGAGAGCCTTACTTGTCAATCTGACCCCTCATGGTAAAGAGAACGACTGGTTTCAAACACACAGAGAAAAACAAAGTAACAGAAGAGACGCCTACGTACCTAACGCCCAGCATCAACAGAAGCTAACGTTTGACCCAATTCCCCTCGCCTCCTCTTTATAGTGTTACTACGTGTAAGTCCATAAGCATTCTATAGCACCTGGGTTTAAGGAATTCTATTGTATTTATCTTTACAACTTAATTCTGAGACCTCACATGTGAGGTTAGCATACTTTTAGAAAGTCCGTTTTAATGGCAGCATAATTTTCCATCTTCTGAACAGGTCCTCCCTGGTCTGTTTCCTGACTCAAATACCGCCTGTTATTTTTCTGATTTGTGCGTATTTTTCTGACTGGGGCGAATGGACTCCTTCAGATTTCCATGCCTACAACCAACGGTTCCACGCTGTGACGTCACCACCTTTCGGCCTTGATGTCTTCATTGTTGTGTTCAGGCTGCCAACTTGAAAAGGATTTTCTCACCTGCCCTGAAAAACCATCTTTGGTTTCTGATCACCCCTGAATTTCCTCCCAAATTTCCCTAGAAAACTAAGGAGCCCTCTCAGGGGTGGGCTTCAATTCAGAACTTTGTGGATTTGAAAACTGCACCGACGGATACAAATGGCAAGGCATTATTAGTAGGATATTCCAAACTCCAACCAAACTCACTGCCGGCGACTATCTGACTACGGGACGGGGCAGATGTGGCCCTGTGGATCCCTGTGGCTGGAACTTCTTACGGGAGTAGAACGCCTCCTCCTCCTCCATAGAGTGACCTTGCAGTGAGCAGCCCGATGTGCAACCTCTGGGCCACCAGGGCTACAGGACAGCATATTTGAATAGAGTTAAAGTGTGCACATCAGAGGACCTGTTCATGTGTCCGCTCAGCAAGGGGTTCATCTTCAACTAGACCACTCGTCTCTTGAGAGTATGGAGACTTGAGAGGAGTCCAGTGAGTGGCCATGGAGGGCAGAGGCGAAAGAGGGTCTGGGATATGCAACCTGAAGAGAAAGTGCTGGCATGCACGCTTCCTTCAGGGCCTTCTGCTGGGGAGGTCTCAATGTGGTGACACGTGTGTCCAGTGACACACGTGGGATTCACAAGCTAACTATGGACATGCCTTTAAATCATAAGCTGCCACAAACACTGGGACAGTTCACTGCAGGAGGCTACAGAAGCCGCTTTATCTGAGGTTTCCACACCTTCATGGCCTGTGAAGAGCTACCTACCACCCACCAACACTCTCAGCCTTTTGGGTTTTGCTGGGTTCTGCTCTTCGCAGTTGTGGTACATGCTGCTTCCTGGTAGGGAGCGGGATAATTGTGTGTACCCGAAGAAACGGGCCTCACCCCACCAATCCTACCACTTGAGTTTCCCTTGGGATGTAAGTGTCCCACATCAAAATCTAGCACATAAAAAAAATGCCCTTGATTCAGCATGCCTTCCATTCCTGAATCCATGTGACATCACCAAAAATCCAAAGCCGAAGATGACTACTAGGTCTTGACAAAGTTTAATAGAGAAAAGAAACACAACTCTCTGGAGAAAGTAGGATAGAACATGCTCAGAGAGCGAGCCAGATAACCTCTGGGGCCTCTTTTGGGTCCAGAATCCCACAGGGGGTTGAGTTTTTGAGAAAATCTCTACTTCAGCCAGGACTCAAGAGGATTTCTCAGTTCTCTTGTTTACTTTTAATCGAGCCCAAACCAGTGATGAAAGGAAGCCAAAGAACATGGATTCCATATACGGCTGACTAGGGACATGCTGGCTTGACCCCTCCAGCTTCTTCAAGGGCAGCTTCTGACATCAAGGACCGGTAGCTTAGTCCCACTTCATTCCTTCCCCTGAATGAAGGAATCGTTAAGCTCCTCTTTCTACCAAGTCCTCTCTTTTCCATGCAAACATCTGGGACTTCTCGTTGGTGTCGTCTTTTGGTCTCACCTTGAAAGCTCTATGTTGTGCAGCAATGTGTGTTGAGATGGGAAAGCCAACAGGATTCAGGCAAAATCCAAGTCGGAATGAGGAGCAGACTTTGCAATGGAGCGTCTTCTTCTGTGATAGCTCACAGGGACCTGAGGTATGGAGATGTGCAGCGGACGGGAGAGAGTTCCGACCGGGGCAAGAAAGAGAGCCCTTGCCAGACAAGTTTTAAACATTCAAGGTGGCGGCGGAGAGACAAGCCATCTAAGAAAATATGAGCCAAGCTCTAATTACATTGAAACCCTTGACTATTCGATTGATCATATTCAGCTTTCCTGCAGGGCACACATTCAGGCCATGATCCCAGAACTGACTGGGACCCCTGACTAAACTCCCAGCCACTCTGCTAATCAGGAGCCCTGCCTGGATTCTGTGAGGGTGGGAGACACAGTGCCCAGCGTATGTGGGATTGGTCGCCATATACCACGCGTAATGGCTCTCTGCTTAAAATTACCTTGCAGATCCTCGTTGCTATTGTGCCATCTGGTCCATTTTTTTTTCTTTTAAAAATCATTTTATTGGGGGTTCATACAACTCTTTTTTTAAAAAATATATTTACAAATGTACATGCCTTTATTTAGACTTCTATATACGTCCTTCGCCTCCTACCTCTTTCTTTTTTTTTTTTTTTTAC